TGGTACGAAGATTATGTTAAAGGATTAGAAAAATCTGCCCGGAAGACATGGTAGAGAAAGAATTAAATTTATTACGTCAAACCCTACCAGAGAACGGGTATCCACCAAGATTCATGGACAAAAACATGAAAGAGAATCCTCCATCGCCAGATATAGCAACTGTTCCTAAGAAAAATTGTAGTACCCCTATACCAACTGTAAACATGCTTTTTAATCTAATTTGTATACTTGTATTATATGTGTATACAGACCGATTTTATATGTACTTCGCAAACATTTGTCAATTTACTGTTGAACATTACTTTGACACAATTTCGAATTTGACTACTGCTACAATACACATTCGTCCTCTTCGCAAGTGCCTTTTGATTTACGTTGTGGGCGTCGAGTAGCCACAACGTCTGCGCACATTAATAAGAGCGAAGAAATACTAGAATATACGTGTACGGCAGTTTAGTCAAATAACGCACGCAACAAACTCTCTTCATGAATCATGAATTCAAAAGTGACATCGCAGCGGTATTTCTCAGAAACCGCCTTTCTATATTTCTGAAGAAGACATTTCCAATAGCCTCCTCACGTATCACATTCTCCAGCGGACGTCTAATCCAATGAGATACTGCTTTTCGCCACTTAAATGTGTATTCATGAATTTACTTGCTCACGTTTTGCAAAGTATATCGGTCGTACGCAACATCAAGTGCACAAACATATCTGGAACACTGTACAGCTTAGTTAGCCAGAAGAGAAAACAAGAACAGCAGCAGCTCTACCCCCGAACACCTTGTCATCTCCGGACATCGAGCACTCCCATATGAATGCTTCACAGCGCTACACAAAGTCCCTCAATGTCGTTCAAAGGGACATCGCATACGTCATCTGCATATAGCTGAAACATTAGTTATTCAAGATCTGAAACCGGAGCTCTGCATTCAAAAGTGATGCATACATTCACTCGCCCTACCGTCGCCAGAGTAAAGTTCTTACTATAATTTTGCTTCTTTCTTTTTTATTATGTAAGTTCACTATTATTATTGTTGTTATTGTTATTACTACTATTATTTTATTATCATTATTATTCCCATGTTTCATATTTTATTACCACTTTATTACTGTTTATTGATAACAGTGCTTTTTTCATATAAATTTATATAAGAACACCCTGTCGCCTTTCCACTAGTTCCTGTCCATTCTATACGAGATTATTGAGTAGTCATTATCTCACGATTATTATGTCATGTCAACTTCTGTCTCTTTTCTAACTCACAATTAGTCACCCCTTCTAGGTTACATCTACATTGCGTAATACATTTTTCGAGAACAAAGTTTACCTGTATCTGATTAGTCTAAAGATTTCTTTGTTTAATATAATTACGATTGTGCAGCTCATGAAGATGAATCGTTGAAAAGAAATTTTTCTTCTCTGTTTGCGCCTTTTTCTTATGAAACATATTTTCGATAAAAAATAAAATGAAAATAACAATTAAAAAATGTCAATAATAACTCATAAAATGTTATTATGAGTTAGTATTTCCGCGAAAACTCGATAAGTTACCCTCATTTTGGGATGTCGTAATACTACACCTTACTTGTCTTGTTTTTTGCTGTATGCGTAAAGATTTTGCATTCTGTACTTATAAATAGTACCAATTACTTTGTGTTGATACTCTTACACATTTTATACAATACTTTCGCATGATTAAGATAGGAATGATCAGGTTATTTGTGTCAGATGCTAGCTGCAAGACAATGATTTTCATATAAACTCCCAGTGAATATTAGTTAGTCGGTTAGGGAAATCCAATCACCGATATTTCCTGTCTTTAACTATTGGTCATACTTGTGACACTGCTGAAATTGTTTAACTACAGTAGATGCAGAGATAATGAAAATGCTTACCCACTCGCTAAAAGTTGCCCGCTTAAGTCCATGTGGCATATATACAGTTATATGAACACTGACCATAGTGTACAGTTCATATACTTATGCGACTAGTTTGGCCATTCTAATGTGACATTTCAATCAAAAAGTCTACATAACATATTAATGACTCGTAGGAAGTATGTTGTGGTTTTTATAAACTACAGCAGTTATCAGACTGTCACAATTGGCACGCTTACATTCTCTTCAAGAGATTTAATTGCAAAAGAATTTAGCAAAATATGTTAGACGATTTCAGTAATTTAAAAATTCCCATTTGCACATTTAGAAACATGAACAAATGGAGCAAAGAAATGTGTGTCTGTGACATGGTGGTTAGAAAGCTCGTTGACTAGGCACATGGTCAGCAGTTGGATTCGCCGCTGACATGCACCTCATATCAATGGTCGGCCTCTTAAATTTGGACTACTGATATCACAGGTTGAAAAATCCATACTTGCACCAAAATACTGTGTGGAGTCAAGCTATAATAAAGTAAAATGAATAAATAAATTTCTTTTTAATTAGTTCCTCATATTGGCTCTACACAGATACATAGTTTCTCACATCAAAACTGTACCAATCATGTGGTCATTTTACTTCATAAGAATAATCAATGTTAGGTGTAGGAGGAGGGGGTGAGAATAAGAGATTAAAGGTCATTAAAACAACTAACACATATATGTTAGAGACAAGATATCTAAGTTTCCACGGTGGGGTGAAAACAACCATCGCATTTAAGATGAGTTAATTTTCAAGGGTTAGCAAGAAGTTATTACGTTATCGAGAAATCCGTAAAGTAATTAGGTCTCTGCAGAGGTAACTCGAATATATCTGAACATGGTTGGTCAACGCGCTAAAATCACGAATCGGTAGAAGTTAGAGTTGATGGGCGAATTAATGGGACCCCAGTGACTGAATGTTACACTGGCTTACCTTGTAACCGGAAGGTCCTAGGTTCGAAACCCAAACACTGTTTATTATCTTGTAACCGATATTTTAGCAACAAAAACTTGTAGGGAAAACTAGACTTCGTCTTCATGACAAACAATACGTTATGGTAATCTCAGACCGTCTTTCTAGCTAGTGTACATCATTAGAATTATGATGATTTACGTAGCTCCTCTAAATGGTTAGTGAGCGACAACATGAGCATTAGGTTACTGAGTAAAGTGGAACATTTTATGCCAGTAAGAACTTCTGCAATCTTGGATTTGCTAAATTAGCGACAAGTTCGCCATTTTTGTACTGTTCCAAACTATAAAAATAGGTGAAATTTTCTCAAGGAATAGAAAAATATTCCATGAGGTGAAGAATACCTGTAGTCATTCTTTGAGGAAATAAACAAAAGTTACTTATCACTAGCAAATCCTGGTTTTGGATCTTATAAACATATTTTGGTGGTATATGAGTCACTGATTATCATCACCTAATTAACTACCAAGTTAACTGTCTCAAAACTGTTAGCCGTTGCTCATTCATAATAATACTGCATCACCAGAAATCTGAAATAATTTCAAATTGCTTCGTATGTTGGAATGCGTGATAAGGGCAGTTATAATAGTCGTCACCCAGTAGTTGGAGTTATGTGCTTGGGGTCAGCATGGATTAAAATCATGAGGTCTTTGTATTATGTCACAGTAGCGTAATAGTAGTGTATTCTTTTACTGACTTATATCGCATGACCGCAGTGTGTTAAAAGCAGTTGCGTAGGGCATCTAGAAGTTTGAAAGCAGTCTTGGTAACACTTTAGACCACTTCAGCATGTGTTAGCCAGTATTACCTGCATCTGTAGTGACAGTTGTGTGGGCCACACAAACAACGTGTTTTTCAAACCTCTCCGAATACTATCACATGTAACTGCTGAGAGGAGAGGGGAAAAATATAGACAGTTTGGTCGAATTCAGTCACACTAAATCATTTTTAGAGTCACATATAAAATGACAACAAATGTCCTCTTAAATGTGGACGACAGAAGCACTGACAATTAATCTTCGTCTACATTCAGTCTACTATTTTATTATGGTTTGAATGAGCTGACAGTAAGTTTAATTTTCAATATAGAAAATATCCCCATTTAGACATTTAGAAAAGAGAAAGATTGAGCGAAGAAATATTTACTTTTCAATTAGATCCTCATCTCTGACTCTACTCTAATATATATAGCATTTTAATTACAATACACAACAACTTACCAATCAAGTGGCGATATGTTTGTTAACAATAATTAGTCGGTGTCAAAATGTCAATGGGGTGATAATTAACGAAGAAAAATTAATATCTATAATTAAGAGGTGGAAATGGTTACAACACGTGGATTGCATAATGCATAATTTTGGAAAAATGAAGAGTAATTAAGGAATAAGCGTGTGCACAGGTTGATTACGTAACAGATTGTTAAAGAAAATAAAACAATTTGGACAATGATAATTTGTAATTAAAGTTGAAGTGGTCATAAGAATAAAATAATTTTTACAAGGATAACACGTAATTAAAGATGAAGTAGTCAGAAAAATAAAATAATTTGGACAATTATAGTTTTTTAAAAAAGAAAAATTATTCTAGGGGGAGGGTGATGGAGTAGTCCGGTTTATACAGTCATGTACCAATGGCAAAGGTAAAGAAAGTGGCTGTACAAATTTCTTCTGGACACACAAGTTTGGCTTCTTCAGGTGGATTCCTATTGCTTCAGCTGTATGTAGAAGACGAACTCGTAAAGCAAAATTAAGATTAGTAGGAATGCGATAAATAATTTTAAATGCAGTATTAACATCAACCTTATGCTCACTATCTACAAGGTGGGCTAAAATAGAGCTACGAATAGATTTTGTTTGTCCCTTGCTTAACCATGCCGGATGATGTTCGGAAATACGATGATGAACCTGCCTAATTGTTCGCCCGATGTAGCTGGCTCCGCAGCTGCAGTCAAACTGGTAGATACACATAATTGTAGATACACTATAATTGTCCAAATTATTTTATTCTTATGACCACTTCAACTTTAGTTACAAATTATCATTGTCCAAATTGTTTTTTTTTCTTTAACAATCTGTTACGTAATCAACCTGTGCACACGCTTATTCCTTAATTGCTCTTCATTTTTCCAAAATTATGCATTATGCAATCCACGTGTTGTAACCATTTCCACCTCTTAATTATAGATATTAATTTTTCTTCGTTAATTATCACCCCATTGACATTTTGACACCGACTAATTATTGTTAACAAACATATCGCCACTTGATTGGTAAATTGTTGTGTATTGTAATTAAAATGCTATATATATTAGAGTAGAGCCAGAGATGAGGATCTAATTGAAAAGTAAATATTTCTTCGCTCAATCTTTCTCTTTTCTAAATGTCTAAATGGGGATATTTTCTATATTGAAATCTTCGGAGCAACAGTTTGCGTTAAAGGTACTCGACGAGTATCTGAAGTACAGCGCAAGGCTCAGTGAAGCGAGAATTTCTTTGGACTTCATCCTCGAATGCATTGAGAGAAACCAGTATCCAAAGTCCTATTGGAAGTCTTTACGACGTTGCAGAGTTCGCCCGAATAGTAAGACACTCAAGCGTCACGCATTGAATCAGATCGACTCACTCAAATCATGTATCACGGAATTATCAAAGAATGTAACAGAAAGGTTTTATGCTGTAGACGAGCTCCCAGAGCACTTGAAGAAACAGTTCCTGGATTATGTGAATGAGGTTTCTGGAAAAAGAAGGGAAAAGAAACGTGTCAAATTATTACAAAGCCTGGAAAGCAAAACTCCAGAAATGCGATTTCCGCCAAACCCTGGTCGGTATGTTTATAATTTTTCTGATATTGTTCTTGATGACACTGATTTGCAAGTATTATCCCTAGGCACTAAGTTTTGTGATAATCACGTTAGAATTAATAAGATGGATATGCAAGTCCAGTTTGAAAACTTTTATGCACAAACTGAAGGATTGACACCCTCGTCAGCTGAGGCAGTTGAAAGTCTCAAATCAACTCTCGTCGACTGTTGTTATAAATATATAAATAGTAAACGGAGACAGAATAGCTTATTGACCAAGAAACACAGGGAAGCCCTAGATAAGCTCCGAAATAATGAGAATATAATAATTTCGAAACCCGATAAAGGCTCTGGAGTAGTAATAATGAATAAGACTGAATACATAGATAAGATGAATGGAATACTCAGTGATCATCGAAAATTTCAAAAAATCACGTCTTCCGTCGATCCAACAGAAAAAGTAGAGAAACAGCTAATCGAGTCACTAAAAAGACTTAAACAACAAAGTAGCATCATAGAAGGTTTATATGAATCTCTAAAGCCTACTGGCACGATTACACCAAGATTATATGGACTTCCAAAAGTGCACAAAATTGGTTTACCACTTCGACCAGTGTTAGATATGTGTAATTCCCCATACCATGCCACAGCAAAATGGTTAGTCAAGCTCCTGAAACCTCTGCATAATGAGTTGGTAAAACATAGCGTAAATGGCAGTTTTGAATTTGTTGGAAAAATAAGAGATCTTAATGTGAAGGACAAGTTTATGATATCTTTTGATGTATCCTCCTTGTTCACCAACGTACCGTTAATGGAGACAGTGGATTTTATATGTGAGGAGATTACTACACGAAACATAGACATCGGCATTTCTGTATCCACCTTGAAGGAACTTATTTTAAGATGTACAATGAACGTTCATTTCTTATTCAATAAGGAATATTACAGACAAATTGATGGTGTAGCTATGGGTTCCCCATTAGGCCCAATCCTAGCTGATTTTTTCCTCGCTAAGTTAGAGAATGGACCACTGAAAGGAGCAATTAGTGACTTGGATTTCTACTGTCGATATATGGATGATACATTTCTGGTCATAAAAAACGAGGACGACGCAATGAACATCCTTGACAAGTTTAATGATGCCCATTCAGCAATAAACTTTACTATAGAGAAAGAAAGTAATGACTGTATCTCATTCCTAGACGTCTTCATGGCAAGGAAAGAAGATGGCACACTAAGAAGGAGTGTGTACAGGAAACCTACTACAACAGGACAGTACACTCATTTTTTGAGTTTTGTACCTTTGAAATATAAACGCAACCTGGTAAAGTGTCTGGTTCATAGAGCTAGGTTAATCTGTTCAGACGACTGCTTCAATGAGGAGCTTGAGATTATTAGAGAATTACTTAGAAAAAATGGTTATCCAGATAAGTTTATTGAGAAAAATATGAATTCATCACCTAGGACAGTGACTATGGCAACAGTTCCGAAAAAACCACTGTTCATAAAACTTCAGTTCCTCGGCGACAACATCAGCGAAATAATAACGCAGCGACTGAGGAATGCAGTTAAAAGAGCTTATTATGCAGCAGAGGTACGCTGTCTCTTCACGACCACACCTATCCTACGTTCGAGTAATAAGGATAAACTACCTAAATTCGCCTCTTCTATGTGTATCTACCAGTTTGACTGCAGCTGCGGAGCCAGCTACATCGGGCGAACAATTAGGCAGGTTCATCATCGTATTTCCGAACATCATCCGGCATGGTTAAGCAAGGGACAAACAAAATCTATTCGTAGCTCTATTTTAGCCCACCTTGTAGATAGTGAGCATAAGGTTGATGTTAATACTGCATTTAAAATTATTTATCGCATTCCTACTAATCTTAATTTTGCTTTACGAGTTCGTCTTCTACATACAGCTGAAGCAATAGGAATCCACCTGAAGAAGCCAAACTTGTGTGTCCAGAAGAAATTTGTACAGCCACTTTCCTTACCTTGGCCATCGTTACATGACTGTATAAACCGGACTACTCCATCACCCTCCCCCTAGAATAATTTTTCTTTTTTAAAAAACTATAATTGTCCAAATTATTTTATTTTTCTGACTACTTCATCTTTAATTACGTGTTATCCTTGTAAAAATTATTTTATTCTTATGACCACTTCAACTTTAGTTACAAATTATCATTGTCCAAATTGTTTTATTTTCTTTAACAATCTGTTACGTAATCAACCTGTGCACACGCTTATTCCTTAATTGCTCTTCATTTTTCCAAAATTATGCATTATGCAATCCACGTGTTGTAACCATTTCCACCTCTTAATTATAGATATTAATTTTTCTTCGTTAATTATCACCCCATTGACATTTTGACACCGACTAATTATTGTTAACAAACATATCGCCACTTGATTGGTAAATTGTTGTGTATTGTAATTAAAATGCTATATATATTAGAGTAGAGCCAGAGATGAGGATCTAATTGAAAAGTAAATATTTCTTCGCTCAATCTTTCTCTTTTCTAAAAGTTTAATTTTGTTATGATCGACTCCCCAATGATTATGATATCAGTTATGGTTAGTGTGTCATCAGTCATCCTATCCGACACTCAATAAGTGAAAAGCTGCCTTTCAAAATACTCCGGATGTTATCAAATTTCACTCTTTCTTACTACCTACATTATGTTACTGATTAATGTACAGCTAATTCTGTGCTAAGAAATCACATGTGAATTGCTGAATAAATCACATAACCTTCCACTCTTTCTTTCATACTAATCTGATATGCGATCTCAGTATAAGGAATTCATCGATAAATAACATGCAGTTTCACACGTTTTTATCTACCTCAAAGTCGTTTTCCGTAAACTTTGAAACACTTTGTGGTGATTGACTATTTCTATCTCTGTATTGTTGAAATACTTACTGTTGATTGTTAATATTTCTCATATGAATTGCAATAATAATTCCGCTAAATACAAATTCCTGAATTCCACCCTCCCTGTGTTTTGGTTGTATTCTTGTAATTCGGTCATCTCGAAATACTAATACTACGATTACAAATAATTACTACACACTTCCTTTTATAGTGTAGTTTTCTACTCAGCACGCTGTCATAAAGGCATTTATTCTCAATTTGAATTCCAAGCGCACTCTAATACAGACATGTAAAAGTGGAATGTAAAATGCAAGTTAACAACAAGAATGTTCTGTGATCAAATTCACGTATCGAAAATAATTCACAGACAGAATTTTATGTACTATGTTAGCAAATCGCTAAAGTAGTTAGCCAGAAACCAGGTGATTTGAATTGATTTGACTCTGTGAGATGAGTCAAACTGGCTGCCCCAAGCGACAGAAACGGCCATTCGACATTAAGACCACTTCGATCTAGCCGGCAACCACCACTGGTCAACATGAGTGGTATGCGACTTCTTGTCTCAATCAATCGGTGGTATATATACAGGAGTGTTCCTTGTTCAGTGGTTTCTCTTTTACTCATAATGCTAATCTTCAAAACAGTTGATAATCAATCACAGCTTCTACAAGAAAAGTTTGCAAAATTAGCTTATTTCAACAGTTTATAATCTAGACTAAACGATTTTACCTTTTAAGACAGAATGATCCTCAGAAGTCATGAATTTGAGCGTATTGTTATGGAAACACCTAGTGGTTTGCCGGATTTCTTATTTTAGCAAGTGAGATGATTATGTAACAGGCATTTCGGTAGTCATGATAGTTTTTGGGGATCTTAAAATGAATAAGGATTTCAATGAATCTGACTTTCTCCATAATCGATATTTTTATTTGGTTGACTTGTGATCGCTACTCCATTTTTATAACTAAAATCTTTTAACTGTCGCAGTTGAATTGTGGGAATCAGCCATCAGGTTATCCCAGTGAAAACAAGAAGATATCTTTCTGGATAAAAAGTATCCATTTCGGTAACTTCTTCATCACAGTCCACATTTATTTATGAATAATTGTTAAGATATAAATGTTATCGACGAATTTTTTAAAATTTTTGTGTGGAGTGTTAATATAAAACAATTCAAATCATATACTACAAGAAGGCCTTTGACAGCGTTGACCGTGAAGAATGTGGAAACTACACGAGTACTATGGCGTACCCCAAATATCCATCAACCTTATTAAACAGCTGTACGACAACGGTACATGTCAAGTCATCCACAACGGAAAATTCAGCAAGGCGTTTGGAGTAAACACAGGAGTCAGACAAGGGTGCTTATTATCACCAATGATATTCATAACTGTGGTGGACTGGATTACGCGCCAGACAGTGGGGAACGAGAAGACAGGGATATCCTAGACCGACCGACGTGAAGAACCTAGAAGACCTGGATTTCGCGCATGGATGATATATGTTTGATGTCACACACAATCGAAGACTTACAAGCGAACACCTTGTCATCTCCGGACATCGAGCACTCCCATATGAATGCTTCACAGCGCTACACAAAGTCCCTCAATGTCGTTCAAAGGGACATCGCATACGTCATCTGCATATAGCTGAAACATTAGTTATTCAAGATCTGAAACCGGAGCTCTGCATTCAAAAGTGATGCATACATTCACTCGCCCTACCGTCGCCAGAGTAAAGTTCTTACTATAATTTTGCTTCTTTCTTTTTTATTATGTAAGTTCACTATTATTATTGTTGTTATTGTTATTACTACTATTATTTTATTATCATTATTATTCCCATGTTTCATATTTTATTACCACTTTATTACTGTTTATTGATAACAGTGCTTTTTTCATATAAATTTATATAAGAACACCCTGTCGCCTTTCCACTAGTTCCTGTCCATTCTATACGAGATTATTGAGTAGTCATTATCTCACGATTATTATGTCATGTCAACTTCTGTCTCTTTTCTAACTCACAATTAGTCACCCCTTCTAGGTTACATCTACATTGCGTAATACATTTTTCGAGAACAAAGTTTACCTGTATCTGATTAGTCTAAAGATTTCTTTGTTTAATATAATTACGATTGTGCAGCTCATGAAGATGAATCGTTGAAAAGAAATTTTTCTTCTCTGTTTGCGCCTTTTTCTTATGAAACATATTTTCGATAAAAAATAAAATGAAAATAACAATTAAAAAATGTCAATAATAACTCATAAAATGTTATTATGAGTTAGTATTTCCGCGAAAACTCGATAAGTTACCCTCATTTTGGGATGTCGTAATACTACACCTTACTTGTCTTGTTTTTTGCTGTATGCGTAAAGATTTTGCATTCTGTACTTATAAATAGTACCAATTACTTTGTGTTGATACTCTTACACATTTTATACAATACTTTCGCATGATTAAGATAGGAATGATCAGGTTATTTGTGTCAGATGCTAGCTGCAAGACAATGATTTTCATATAAACTCCCAGTGAATATTAGTTAGTCGGTTAGGGAAATCCAATCACCGATATTTCCTGTCTTTAACTATTGGTCATACTTGTGACACTGCTGAAATTGTTTAACTACAGTAGATGCAGAGATAATGAAAATGCTTACCCACTCGCTAAAAGTTGCCCGCTTAAGTCCATGTGGCATATATACAGTTATATGAACACTGACCATAGTGTACAGTTCATATACTTATGCGACTAGTTTGGCCATTCTAATGTGACATTTCAATCAAAAAGTCTACATAACATATTAATGACTCGTAGGAAGTATGTTGTGGTTTTTATAAACTACAGCAGTTATCAGACTGTCACAATTGGCACGCTTACATTCTCTTCAAGAGATTTAATTGCAAAAGAATTTAGCAAAATATGTTAGACGATTTCAGTAATTTAAAAATTCCCATTTGCACATTTAGAAACATGAACAAATGGAGCAAAGAAATGTGTGTCTGTGACATGGTGGTTAGAAAGCTCGTTGACTAGGCACATGGTCAGCAGTTGGATTCGCCGCTGACATGCACCTCATATCAATGGTCGGCCTCTTAAATTTGGACTACTGATATCACAGGTTGAAAAATCCATACTTGCACCAAAATACTGTGTGGAGTCAAGCTATAATAAAGTAAAATGAATAAATAAATTTCTTTTTAATTAGTTCCTCATATTGGCTCTACACAGATACATAGTTTCTCACATCAAAACTGTACCAATCATGTGGTCATTTTACTTCATAAGAATAATCAATGTTAGGTGTAGGAGGAGGGGGTGAGAATAAGAGATTAAAGGTCATTAAAACAACTAACACATATATGTTAGAGACAAGATATCTAAGTTTCCACGGTGGGGTGAAAACAACCATCGCATTTAAGATGAGTTAATTTTCAAGGGTTAGCAAGAAGTTATTACGTTATCGAGAAATCCGTAAAGTAATTAGGTCTCTGCAGAGGTAACTCGAATATATCTGAACATGGTTGGTCAACGCGCTAAAATCACGAATCGGTAGAAGTTAGAGTTGATGGGCGAATTAATGGGACCCCAGTGACTGAATGTTACACTGGCTTACCTTGTAACCGGAAGGTCCTAGGTTCGAAACCCAAACACTGTTTATTATCTTGTAACCGATATTTTAGCAACAAAAACTTGTAGGGAAAACTAGACTTCGTCTTCATGACAAACAATACGTTATGGTAATCTCAGACCGTCTTTCTAGCTAGTGTACATCATTAGAATTATGATGATTTACGTAGCTCCTCTAAATGGTTAGTGAGCGACAACATGAGCATTAGGTTACTGAGTAAAGTGGAACATTTTATGCCAGTAAGAACTTCTGCAATCTTGGATTTGCTAAATTAGCGACAAGTTCGCCATTTTTGTACTGTTCCAAACTATAAAAATAGGTGAAATTTTCTCAAGGAATAGAAAAATATTCCATGAGGTGAAGAATACCTGTAGTCATTCTTTGAGGAAATAAACAAAAGTTACTTATCACTAGCAAATCCTGGTTTTGGATCTTATAAACATATTTTGGTAGCATATGAGTCACTGATTATCATCACCTAATTAACTACCAAGTTAACTGTCTCAAAACTGTTAGCCGTTGCTCATTCATAATAATACTGCATCACCAGAAATCTGAAATAATTTCAAATTGCTTCGTATGTTGGAATGCGTGATAAGGGCAGTTATAATAGTCGTCACCCAGTAGTTGGAGTTATGTGCTTGGGGTCAGCATGGATTAAAATCATGAGGTCTTTGTATTATGTCACAGTAGCGTAATAGTAGTGTATTCTTTTACTGACTTATATCGCATAACCGCAGTGTGTTAAAAGCAGTTGCGTAGGGCATCTAGAAGTTTGAAAGCAGTCTTGGTAACACTTTAGACCACTTCAGCATGTGTTAGCCAGTATTACCTGCATCTGTAGTGACAGTTGTGTGGGCCACACAAACAACGTGTTTTTCAAACCTCTCCGAATACTATCACATGTAAGTGCTGAGAGGAGAGGGGAAAATATAGACAGTTTGGTCGAATTCAGTCACACTAAATCATTTTTAGAGTCACATATAAAATGACAA